GCATTATCAGCTAGCCTTTTGTCCACCAAAAGTGAAGTAGATTATAATTTCTTTAGCGAGAAGGTTTATGCACCTTAGTTCTTCATGAATTTTTACCAATTTAATGCACAAAATATCCTCTTGATTCTGTCTAAATGCACCAGTCCGAAAAGGGTGAGTTGATGTACTTCAATAATATAACAGATCAAGATCTTAATACAGATAAGACTGAAGGACTAACCAAAAATGATGACATTCCATCTGATGAAGCAGCACCGTGAGTATCTAAATAGTCTCTAAGCCGAGCAAAACTTTCTCTCATTGCATGTATGTTGTCTATCCCAAAAAAAACTACCTGATAAGGAGAATAGAAGAAACTCAGGTCACTAACTTTTGACACGGAGATGCATATCTTCCAAGCTCAAACTTAAGACAGACCTCAGATTGAAAATAATTTGAAGAAGATTCTGAGTCCCCTCCCATTGCTCCATTTGCCAATGCATTTTTTCTTGGTCTTGCATCAGCAATATATAGCTTCCTAAATTGGCAGAAGAAATCATACTAAATAAAGGTAACAACAGCAGTTCCTATACAAACATTACTTTCATAATCAAACCATTTGCAGCTCAAAAACCACGAATATTATCAGGGCATATTCTAAAAAAATTGGTTCCTTAAAAACATGAAGATCTTTCTCTATGAGCAAGCTCCCACATTATCGTGAAAATGATGTCATTGTAAAATTTGGTGAAATATAAAATAAATTAACACATTTTAATTTGACGGATGATATGCACCTCTTATTCCAGGAGTATTTTAAAGTAGGAAAACAAGCATTGCAATATATACCAAGCTTATTTCTCACTGAAGGGCTTTGGGGTTAATCAAGAACTTAGGAATACCTCCTCATATTCATCATAAGACCAACTAAATAAAAAATTAGATAAAAACCAAATCATATTTTTGTTATAGATGTCATTTTATCCGGGGTGTCATTTTATAAAGAAACTTCAGAAGGGCTTTAGGGTTACTCAAGTACTTAGGCATACCTCCTCATATTCATCATAAGACCAACGAAAGGTTGTGATGAACGGGCAAGAACTGCTCCAGTTCCTGTTATTAAACGCATGTATCACAAATTTTATTATAGAAAAATGCATCACAAATTTTGGACATATATTTAGAAACAAACTCACGCGCACACACACAACATAGACACAAATTGTTGCATACCAGGGTGACACCAAGAAACTACAGGTATCCTACACCTTGCACGAAAAGTTGAAGCTTGGATCACTTCTTCGTCACTAGCATTAGTAGCCATGAACAAAAATTAGTTCCTTAGCTATAGCAAAAATTATGAAACCAGCCTCATCCACTATAACGTGATTCAAAAGTGAAAATGAGGAAAGATTGGATCTGGTTTTGTTTAACATCTTCCTCTTGTTATCTCAAAGGGGATCTCAATGCCTTACCTGATGCTTTTTGGAACAATCAATGCAAATGGATAACTCGGACACATTGTATAGCTGGAATTTTTATTACTTATTCTCCATAAATAATTAGGCAATGTAAATGACCCATCTTCAACCATATCCACTGATGCACGATGGCCTTTTTCAAGAAGGCGGAAGTATTCATTCAGTAAGCGGACCTTTAAATTTGGATTACTGAATTCGGATGGTACACAAGTAAAGGCATAAAGATCCCAGACTCTTGCTGGCTTTCCACATCTCAGTAATGCATCAAATATGACACGTCTCTACATAGAAAAATTACAACCACATTAATCCCTTCATATAAATTACTTAAATATATGATCTGTAAGGTCAACGAATAGGATAGTTTAGTGTTATCCTTTTCAAAATCAATGTAAAAATAATAATAATAATTGGAACTTTGAACTTCCTTGAAACTTGCACATTTCATGAACTTAAGCAATTCTGGCATATTATTTCCATTGAATATAAAATCAAAAGTTAATTACAAGACACTGCATTATATCAGCTTGAAAAGAAGAGCAAAACACAACCAAGTATAAACCTTATAAATTGACTGAAATAGGTAAATACACAGGGAGACAAAAATCAGCAGTGTTGTAGTCATAGAGATCATTATATGATTCATCTCCCCCCTGGCATCCAAAATAATCCCATGCGCTACGCGTAGTAGAAATTGCACCTACCTCATTTTTATATTCTTCTGAAAATACTAAAAATAAAACCTCTTTCGAGTCTTTATTCGTATAAAAAATGGACATATATATTATCAAAAAAGAAAACAAAAAACAGATAATTATTTATTCTTATTTTAGACTTGGGGAGTAGAGTCAGCTCTTTAAGCAGGGAAATACATGCAAATAGAAGTAGGGATGAGCAGTTGGGCACGAGGCTGGGTGGTTTTTCGCCTCCCCGACCCCGCCCCCGATGATTGCTAGCTTTTATCCAGCCCGATTTTTAGATTAAAACCCGACCCCGGCTCAACTCTATCTGAATATATTAACATTTTCAAATAATTAAAATAATATATTTTATAATAATATATTTATATTCATTTACTGTATTTTATACGTTTAAAATAATATATTTTATAATAATTTACTAAATTTTTAACAATTAAAGAATATATTTTAACACTATAAAAATAAAAATCCCTAAAACCTTAAATATATTATATAAAAGGGTAGACTAATAATTTATAGCATGTTAGGTTGGATCGATGATTTTTCACCTTAAATCAAGTTCCACCCTACCCCGAACATGAAATTTCAAAAAGAAAACGTCCCTAAGTAGGGTCGGGTTAGAACCCGCCGGGTTCGACTATTTTGACCATCCCTAACCCAAAACTAAGCGAATACTTAGCTGCTAGGCAAATAAATAGAATATAGAAGTACATAAATATATATTGACAATATAAGAGGAAACCAAAGAATAGATTGCTAAAGTTGACCTATGGATGGCAGTATGACCCGAACTCGACGGGAAAACTCAAAATCCGATTACGTTCGGGTCGGGTCAGGTTGAATGATATCGGGTTGGGTCGGGTATCGGGGATTTGTTCCGGTCGAATTCGGGATAAGGTATCCCCGACCTGCCCCGATTATATATATATATAATATTTTATATATTTTATATTAATTATATATAAAATATTTTTGGGTTCGGGTTCAGGTATAATATTTCGGGTCGGGTTCGAAGACGGGATAAAAAAAATCTCCGACGGGACGCACCGATAAAAAATCCGTCGAAAATCGGGTCGAAATCGGGGACAGAGATTCATTTCAGATTCGGAGACGGGGGAACAAAACCCGACCCGTTGTCATTCCTAAGCTGACCTGCTTTGTCCGAGGGCGGAAATCAAACACAATAATTCTCATTTATTTTCCTGCAAAAGTGAAGCCTTCTAGGTCCATCATTATTTTCCATACCAGTTAAAGCGGAAAACTAGAATGCCAGAATCTATGACCTAAAGCAAATAGACATATGCTACCATAACTGCATGATATAAGATATAAACATTGACATATTATATTAGAATCAGATAGAGTATTTTCAATAAGTTTAAAAGACTATAGTACATGAATACACCTCAAGACACGGCATCTTGGATTATAAGTAACCACTACCTAATCTTAGCCATTCAGATTCAACGAACTCGAATTTTACATAAAAAACCTTAAAACCCATTGTCGTCTTACAACTTCAACGTCATTTTTAACCATTGTTCTATTCATTTGACTCTTTCTACATCATTTTAATCAAATCATTTAGACAAATGATATATATGTAAACAGACGCCATTGTTAATGGCAAATGATAAACATTATTAAAACTGACATAAGATGTATATATACTATAAAAATTACTGATATTCAATCTATTAGTTGACTGATCTAAATAGAATAATGTAGAGACTCAATATGAGGATGATCTTTCCAATATAACTTGCACTATCCACAAAAATTAAAATTCCAATGCATTTCCGCTTTACATGAATTAATGTTCCACCTCACTAGATTAATTAATTGTTGATAAATTAAAATTCCAATATAATACATATACAAGTAAGTCTTTCTCTTACACCACTAATAATTTTTTAACTCACATAGTTCATGAAATTATTTGATTTTATTCACATTAATTCTTAGATTTTTTTAGACTGTACAGAAGTTATCTTAATTAGTGATATGTATGGGTTGAGTTATATTCGAATTTGACTTGAATTTTAAAAATTAAAATTTGTGTTGAACTTAAAATAAATAAGTTTCCTCACATTTATTTGAAAGATAAACTCAGTTTACTTTATTTTCCACAAAATTTAGTTTCAATCAAATCTATTTCTAAAAGAATCTGATTATATATAATTGAATCTAATAAAGAAATTTTGAATTAAATAATTTCATCATTCCTAATTCTCACTGTTTTGTTCTAGAAAATAATTTTATTCCATTTATCATTGTTATTATTTAGAGTAATATTATTCAAACAAACTAGTGCTCCAGAAACGGGTAATATTATGTCCTCCTTCCAGCCTTGTCAAGTACAATCGAGGGATTTGTCAACTCAGCTGTTGAAGGCATTGCAGAAGCCCAAAGCTCTGAGAAGATTAACGAATGACAGTAAACTTTTCTATCTTGGAAACCATACATCCCTCCCACTTCCTCTCCTTCACCATCCCAAACCCCAATCCCTCACTCGCTTCCCCACCCATCCGACCTCGACTCACCGATTCTCCCCTCCACCTTCACCTCATCTCCTCCCATTCCGAGTGTCGTCGCCACGATCGTCCCCAAACACCGCGAGTCCGACTGGCTCTTCTCGACGGAGGCCTGTCACATCCAACTCCTCCTCGCTTCCCCTAACATCCAACGCCTCATATTAATCGGACAACAACTACCTATCATCACGGCTCTACTTCACCTTCCGTTTACCGCCGTTGCATCGATTCTGAATCCCTGAACAACCTGGAGATGACTCTCAAGCCGCTGGTAATTGCTTTGTCTCCTAAAATTTACTTAAAAAATGGAAACTTGGAATTACCCTTTTTGCTTTATGAGGACAGTGTCATTTGTTGGTGAAATGCTTGTTGAAGATGTTGAGATAGAGAGTGCTGATCAAGGAAGGGAATTTAGGAGGAGATTAAGGTTTAAACGGATGCCTAATTTGGTTCAAACGGAGATTCGAATTGTGCCCAAGGGGTTTTCTTGCTTGGATTCACTTGAAATAGGAAGCTATAGTTTGGAGTTTAGCCCTGATTTGGGGGCTTTAGTGCATGTTTTTTTGGTGCCAATGGTAGCTAGTCTTGCATTGATTGGATCACGGATCGAAGAGCTTGTTGAAGCTGGGTTAAGACCTAAAGCTTTGTGTCTTGGGTTAGGTGGAGCTCTAGTTGGGTGAAAACACAACTGGACTATGAGGTTAGTGGCGTTGAGGTTGATGAAGAGGTGTCAAGGGTTGCTCACAAGTACTTTGGGTTGGAGGATGGGGATCAAATTCGGGTTTGTGTTGGAGATGGCATGAAACTTATGGATAAACTTGCACATGGAGATGTAGGTCATACTGATCCCAAGTTTGATGTGATTATGGTTGATTTGCATTCTGATAATCTGAGAATTGGTGTTAGTGATCCACCAATGTAATTTGTTAGGAAGGATGTTCTTTTGTCTGCTAGATCAATTCTTTGTGAATCTGAGATTTTTGTTGTCAATGTAATCCCTCCAAGTAAGTCGTTCTATGAGACGTTGATACATGATTTTCAGGAGGTTTTTCCCTATTTATATGAGATCGATGTTGGAAATGGAGAAAATTTTGTTTTAATCGCTGCTATGGCCTTGCCCTGTTCATCTTCGATTAGTGATTGTGAAAATATGTTCCTTCAAAAACTGAGACTGGTGATTTCAGGAGCACATGGATCCATTAAGAGAATTGGAAGTGCAATGTCTAGTAGAAGCAGTTAACATGATCATTCAAATTCGGCAATATTAGCCTTTAAGAATGTATTCAAGGTTGGGAATTAGCATCAAGGAAGCTCAACTAGTATATTGGAATTAGGGTTAAGCATGTCTTGGCAGTTATGGTTTTCCATTTTAAAATTCTCAGAGGTTGACAAATTATAAGCCCTTGGCCCTTGGATTTAATGAATGGAGCATCTTCAGTATTAATAAAAAAAATGAATGACGCTTCTTCAGAAAGGTTATGAATGTTATTCTTCTCATCACATTTTTCTGTTTCTACTTGGGCCACTTTCCTAGAGAATACTGTTCTTTTCTTTATCTTCAATGTATGATATTTTAACACGGGTAGATTATCAAAATACACTCAGTCTCAGACACCTATTATCTATGTGTACTGAAGACGATAAGAAGCTCAAAACCCATGTCCTGCTACCAAACTCTACATTGGTAGTTCCAGCCTCCAGTGAATCTGGTTCTATTCTCAATCTTTGTGTTTCCCTTCGAAAGGTTATATGTCGGTATATTTATCCTATTTCATCTTTTGTGCCATAATATTGTTTTTCTTCATCTTCCAGCTCTCTTATTGCATCAGAAGATCATGTTTCAATCCCTAAAACTGTTCATGAAGTCTCGCCAACCTTGGTTGGTGTGATGCACTGATAGAAGAGATTGTGGCTGTATATTTAATGAAACTTGGGATTTATTAAATGTACTTGCAAGAAAAAGTGCTATCAAGTACCAATGGATGTTTGCAGTTAAAATAAGCTGTAATGTATCAGTAGCTCTAGTTGCTAACGGGTATGTGTAAACCTATGGTGTTGACTACGAAGTACTAGGGGTTAGGGGTGAACATTCGATTAAGTCGAGTCGAGTAAAAAAAATTTAAGTTACAAGATTTGACGAGTCTTATTTTACAACTCGAAGTTGACTTGAAATTTTTTCGATTCGAGTCGAGTCAAGTCAATTTTTTGATTTTCTGTTTAAATTTAATTGTGAATATCTATAATATTATAATATTTTTTGTTCCAATTTAAGTGACTTTCTATAACATATATACAATACAAATATGTTTCTTCGTATTTTTTCATATATAATATGCATATATCATACAAAGTCTAATGACTTGACTTAAACTTGAAAATAAATCTACTAATTAATAAAAATTTCGAGTTATTTGAGTTGTATTTTATAACTCAATTTTAATTTAAAATTTTTTTGAGTCGAGTTTATGAAATTGTAACACGAAATCAATTCGAGTCGAGAAAAAATCAATTTTTTGAATCGAGACGAGTTTTGCTCACCCCTACCAATTACCTTCAGTCAACCAAATGAACTTATGTTCATTTCTACGGTGAGTGGCCTCTGCATCAACTAGATATCAAAAATGTGTTTCAACATGGAGATCTCCAAGAAGAGTCTACATGGAGTAGAGGTGCACAAAAAATCCGAATATTCGATTGTCTAAAAAAAATATCCGAAACCGGATTTTGAAAAAACCGGTTTTTTTTAAACCGGATCGGATATTTAAAAACCGGATAATATAACCGGTTTGGGAAAAAATTGAACGACCGGTTTTTTTACCGGATTAAAAACCGGTTTTTTTCAAACCGGATAAAAAACCGGTTTTTTATCCGGATAAAAAACCGGTTTTTTTTCAAACCGGATTTTATCCGAAAAAAATCCGGTTTTTTAAAAAAACTGGATTTTTATCCGAAAAAATCTGGTTTTTTTTAAAAAACCGGTTTTTTTTTTAAAAAAACCGGTTTTTTTTGCAAACCGAAACCGGTTACACCATCCGGCCCTCCAAACCGATTAAAATCCGATCCGATTTTTTTAAAATCCGGTTTTTGGGTTGGGGGAAAAAACCGGATCGATTTTTATCCGATCCGGATTGGATTGAAATCCGGCTTCTGTGCATCTCTAACATGGAGCAAGCACTTGGACTTGTTGCTCAAAGGGAATATGGCAAGGTATGTCAACTTCGAAAATCGTTTATGATATGAACTTCAAAAATATTTGTATAGACTGAAACAAAGTCAAATTTGGTAGATTTAGTAGGTAGTCCAGGAATTTGGGTTAAAGGCATGTAATTCTTTGAATGTAGGTTGAACTAGTTACTTTTGTAACAAGTCCAGCTTGAAGGAGAGAGGAAGTTACTATTTACATAAATGGGTGCATGTCCGAGAAATAAGTGCAGTTAAGTTCAAAGTAATCCCAATAACAAAGGAGTTATTACCTTTGAATGCAACCGGACATCATAATACAGTTCTCCAAATTATTGCATAAAGAACATACGAATGCCAACTCTGAATTTATCAAGTAATGCCCACAGATTGAAACTCTAACGCCATCCGTTTCTATTTTATTGTTTTTTCATATATAATTCACACAGAATGTTCCTCAATTCCTGCTCCCTGCCCAGATGTGTTCTGCTCAGCTAGAATCTTTTTGTATTCTGCTAGCAGTTCCGGAATATCAGCCATCCGTAGCTGAAGATAAGAAAACAAATAGGTAGAAAGAAATGATAACAGGTGATGCGGTAAATAATTATGAGATAGAGCAAGACGAAAAACACAGGAACTGAGTGCAGTTAAGTCTAATGTAATTCTGGTACCGAAGGATTTATTACACAAGCAAGCAACCGAACACCATTAGATCGCTCTATAGATTATTGTATGAAGAATAGTTGAATGCTAACTGGATATTTACAAACAACTCAACCAGTAGGACCCATGTTCAGAGATAGATTAATGCTTCAATGAAAAAAAGTAATATAATGCTTTTGACAACCATTCACATATTTTAAACCACATATGATGATTTCGAACTGTAATCATTGCGGGTAAAATGTTTAATTCTAAGCAAGTTATGTTATTAACAAACACTTTCTTTTCCTTTATTATGCACAAGACCGAAAAATTAGTGGAAAGGCAGACATAAACAAGAAATGATAAACTGGATCAACATCTATTTTAATCATACCTGAGAAGCATTTTTTAAGTGATAAAACCGGTAGGCTTCTTTTCCCAATAACCACAAATCAATAGACTGAAAATCAGATCCGATATTGGCTCTGCCGTTTGACAATTGGAAAATAACCAAGAAACAAACTTATAAGGAGTAAAAAAGTATTAAAATGAAAAACCAAAGCAGAAATTTCATCGCATTTGTACCACCATGTAATGGCTCCTAATTACAGATATTACTCAGATTGATTCACATTGAAGATGTTCCAAAGTAATACTTCTCATTCAAATTCATTAAACAACCAGAAGATGTAACACAGTTCTTAAGTTTAGCCTTCAACTATTTGAGACTTTCATACAATAATTGTGCAGCTCAGCTGAAATTTCGTAAACCAGGAAACAAACAAAATTTGAATTGCATATACGTGAAATGTGCATGGGTGCATTTGACCCACAGGATGAGGAGCGAATAAAAAAAGTTTAGATTAGAAAATCAGAGGATAAGATATTAGGGGTTAGCATAAATTGCTGATAGCAGGAGGAGGGGAAACTACAAAATTCAGTTCAATACAGTTAGAGAGGTGGTTATTTCAGTTTATTTGGTCAGTTTTCGGTGTTTGGTTTAAGGAACCGAAACCGATAAAAATTCAACATATTGTTATTACTTTTTTAACAAGAATACATTATCACATTCACAAATTTTGATACTAAATTTCCTCTTCCTTTAATTTTGTTTTTGGTTTCCCCAAGGCTTAAGACTTGAACCTGTTCTCTACCTTTACAAATGTTGAACAATCTATCTCATGTTTGCACTGCAGCTACCTCTCATATAGTCCCCTTTCTCCAGTCTCAATCATTCCTCTACCACCATTACTCTTTCTTCTTTGCTATTTCTCCATGCGGTCTACACTTACTTTACAAAACCTTATATTGCCACTACTCCATTACTGGACTTTTACCTTCAAACACATTCTGAACTCTCATTATGGGTCATCGACATCATTTTCACCTGTCCTAGTTTCTCAATTGTTCCTTTAATTTTTCTTTCAAAAATGAAAAAAAAGAAGAAAAAAAAAGGAGCGAGCCTCAGTATCCTTTCAAAGAATACCAGAGTTACAATCTTCCTTTTCTTCTGAATCTTTTTTGTCAATTACAACCATTCTTTATTTTTCAATCCTTTGCCGAAGGAAATGCTAATTTATTTTTTATTTTTTGCTTGGACAATGACTTAGTTGGATGTCAGCTAAAGTGACCAAATTTTCTCATGGTTATTCGGTTCTGAGTAGTCTACTTTCCAACTCATGTTTCAGTCAGTGTCACCTTTTTGAAACGGATCAGTTTTGACAGTCATTATATTTTTATAACTGAACCCTACAAGGAATAAGAACACAATATGAAAATTGTTACTATCAATATTTCAAATAGACAAAGTTCATTAATAGCATAAAACTGTAATTTTCATATCAAGTGTTTTAGGTAGACATGGCTATTGCGCTTACAATATGGGAGATAGCCTCACATAACCCGTACTCCAATTACACTCATCACATGAATCCCATCCCATCTGAGACTTTAGATTGGAGTTTCAAGTTCTTAACCGCTAGGATGTCCTCATGGGGAGAGAATTTCTGGACTAAAAAAAGTCAAAAATTTTGCTTCATATTGACATTATCTCTATAGAAATACACAGTTGTAGATGCGAGAGAGCAAATTCAATTTTCATATATCGTGGATTTTCCTCCAATATAGGCTTTGGTTCAATCTATTACATATACATCCAAGGAGTTCTATAAGTTGTCTCTATTCATGCTATATAAGTCTCTTAGAATAGCAATTAAATTTAACAATCTTTACCTATAATGTTGCTCGGATTCAGGATACGGGTATGTATCCTATACAGGTATGTTAAATTTATTTCCAAGTACTTTCATAGCCTTGAAGAATCATACCATCATACTTATGTCCCTACATGTATCAGATACGGGTGTCAGACAAGTATTTTAGGGGAAATGAAGAGTCGGGGCAATATGGATAATGATTAGAAAGGAAAAGTGATGTTACCAAAAATCTTAGATATAAACTAGCAATCTAGCATTATCCTACATAGGGTTGGTAAGGAGTCTATTTTTTTTTTTTTTGATAAGAATTTCAGGCCTCATTAAAAACCCCCTTCTTGATTAATGGATCTTTTAGGAAAGCTCCCTAATCAGCGGAAGGAGGAAAAGAGTACCTTAGGATTTTATTAATCAAAGACAAAGTACATAAAATACAACCAGAAGACAAACTACCAAAACCATAAAAATTACAGAACTTAGAAAGTAGACCCCCAATGCGACCAGACCACCCTTAAACAACACCAAACCTAACTCAGCCCCAGCAACCTCAATAGACCACCAACCCTACTAAAAAACCTATAAGGCAACCTTAATTAATCATCCAATCCCCTGTTTAGCTAAAGTATCAGCCTCACAATTGCAGCTCCTCGGGATGTGTCTAATAATGATCTCCCTCTCCAAGATTAGGGAAGCAATTTTTTGAACCAACGAACTAAAAAAACGAGGAGATGTCGGCAGCAAAATCCAATCCACTACTGATTTACAATCACTCTCTATAATTAACATTCCCTTCCTCGCCCAGTCCGACGAGAGAAAAAAGTCAATGCCTTTCTCAATGGCTTTCAGCTCAGCGAGTGGAGGAGGACCTGGGCCAACAGCATGCGAGAAAGACCCAAGAATTTTACTTTCTGAATCTCTTAAAATGCCCCCAATTCCCCCTAGCAGCCCGTCCCCATTGACTGCCCCATCAACGTTAACTTTAAAAAAATGAAGTGGAGGAGGAAGCCAGCCCTGAACCTTCATCCTTTTAAGGTCCCTAGTATGATGCTTGTCTGCAAGTGTAGGGTCCCCTACAAGGTAGTCTACCTGAATAATGACTTCCGGGTGCTTAGCCAGGAACCATTTAGCCAATCTAAATCTACAAATGAAGAAAAGAGTATGGCTGTCCAGTTTCCAATCATCAAAAACCACCGAGTTTCTAGCCTTCCATAATGACCATAGAACTACACCCGGTATAAAGCTCCATATTAGAGAATTTGGCCTCATGTCCGACCAAGAACACAGAAAGAGACTGGATCTTTAGGTAAGACTGACGAGACTTCCCATAACCTCCAAAAACTGCTCCATAGGTCCCATGCAACCAAACACGATATGAACAAGTGTTGAACAGTTTCTTCCTGCTTAGCACAAAACGGACAAGAGACCTCCTCCAATGTAACACCTCTTCTTATCAACTCCGTTCTAACTGCCAATCTTTGATGAGAGGCCTTCCACAGAAAAGTTTCGACTCTTGGGGGAGCCAAACCTGACCAAACGAACCTTTTCCAATTGAAACTACCCCCTGAATTGGTAGAAAGAGTCAACCTACATGCTTTAGCGGTGAACAGTCCATCTCCCTTCCCCGACCACACCAGAAAATCATCCACCGAATCAGACAGACCAACATTCTCCAATAATGACATCAATTGAATCCAGTAATCCAGCTCTCAATCACATAGATTCCTTCTCGTTTGAATACTCCAAATCCATCTATTACTCAAGAAACTGCCGAACTCTGAAACTTTTCCCCACTTGTTATTAGAAAGAACATAGATCCTTGGAAATTGATTCTTTAAAGAATCCTCATTTAGCCAAACATCATGCCAGAATACAATAGACTTGCCATTGCCTACTTGAATCTTCGAGTGAGATCGCAAACCATGTCCAATTGCATCATCTGCCAAATAGTTTCTTGTAATACCCTTCCACATCCAAGAATCCGAAGGAGAGACTACTTTTTTGAGGTCTAAAGACAGATTACTCACATTATGTTTACAACAAATCATGTTCTTCCAAAGAGTGTCTTTTTCATTTGCGAACTTCCATACCCATTTACCTAGCAGCACTCTGTTAGCGAAATTCAGATCCAAGATTCCCAAACCTCCCTCCTCGAAGGGTTGACAAACCCTTTTCCAATTCACCCAGTGAATTCGACTTTTTGAGGAACCTTCCCCCCACAAAAAGTTAGCCATAAGAGAATTTAGCTTCCTATAAACCTTACTCAGGATTCTGAAAACAGAGAGGAAGAAAATCGGCAAGGAGGACAGAACTGATTTTATCAACACCAACCTGACCGCCATAGATAGTGTGGAAGCTTTCCAACCTGATAATTTTTTGTTGAAACTCTGAATGACTGGCTCCAAAAGAGCCTCTGAATTTCTTTTTGCACCTAATGGTAAACCTAAATATACTGTGGGCAAGACACCCACGGCACAACCAGCCTCCTTAGCCCATTCATTTAATACGTCGTCATCCACATTAATTCCATACAGATTACTCTTCAACAAATTCAAACGGAGTCCAGTCATTAGGCTAAAAATCCTCAAGACTCTCTTAATATTGAGAATATAGGTAGGTGAATCTCGGCAAAACAAAATCAGGTCGTCAGCAAACTGTAAATGGGTTAGAATAAAGGGGACCGATCTTCCAAAAGCAAAACCCTGAAAAAGTCCCACATCCGCCGCTTTCATTAACATTCGATTTAACAGTTCCCCCACTAAATTAAACAAGAGAGGAGACAAACTACAACCTTGTCTTAACCCTTTGGCCATCGAGAACTCCTCTGTAGGAAAGCCATTCACTAACACCGAGATAGACGCCGTGGAGAGGCAACATTTTATCCAGGAAACCCATCTCTCCCCAAAGCCCATGACTCTAAAGATAATTGGCCATTCAACCGAGTCATACGCCCTCTGAAAATCAGCTTTGAAAACTGCCCCTTTCAGCCTTTGCTTCCTCCAATAGTCTATGCCTTCGTTTGCAAGAAAAGCACAATCTAAAAGCTGTCTCCCCGGAATAAATGCAAACTGTGAAGGGCTCACAATATCTTGAATCACTGAAACTAGTCTCCTTGCTAAAACTTTAGAGATGATTTTATAGAGACTGCCAACGAGACTTATAGGTCTATAATCTTCAATTAATTTCGGATTGTTTTTCTTTGGGATCAGAGAAATGAACGCATGATTGACCCCATGATCCCATTTTCTCCCACAATAATTATTAAGATCAGATACTGATTAATGCCAGTTTATTTAAATTGGATGTTTATAACATTTACATTCTAAAAAGGAAAATACATATATACATCAAGGAAGATTTCCTAAGAGATGGCCCGAGATGCTGCTTAGTATCTTGGCTTTATACACCATTCTCTTGGTGACTTCAAAATTCAATAATTTCGCCAAGCCACCCGAGTTTAACTTCTTCTCCACGCCAATCTTCTTCAGTCTACCCATCCTAAGCCTCCAACTTTTTTTTTTTATAAAGAGCGAGACCTCGTTAAAAACCCCCTTCATAACCACTGCTGTACAAAAATACATCAGCAGACATTGAAATGAGGAAAAGAGTGCCTCAAATGCTATTCCAGAAAAGAGTACATTACATACGACAGCCGGCTATTACAAACACCACCCCCACACTCAAGCACTCACCTTTGTAAATCCTCAATGTCCTGAGATACTACCCTATACCCGCCTTAGCCAAGCTGTCAGCCTCCCAATTGACAGACCTTTTAACAAACCTTAAAATGATACTATGCTCTATAACAGCATTGACAATATCCTTAACTAGTTGTGAAAAAACTGAAGCACAAAAATTCTGGGTTCTTAATCCAATTAACGGCATTCTCTGAATCGGACTCAACAATTAGCCTGCCCTTGCCACACCACTCTGAATCCTCAAACAAAGCTAAACCAGCTTGGATGGCCTTCAATTCAGCTAAAACAGGGGGACCTGAACCAGCTGGAACAGAAAAAGAGCCCAAGACTCTTCATTTCGTAGTATTCCCCAATACCAACCAACCAACTCTTATTTTTTTATTCTTATTTTTTGTTTGACATGGCATTAGAGAAATGTAGCTCTTCTACTCTTCCAAATGCTTTACATTTTCATAATAATCATCAACTTTTTGGTTCTCTGCTGGTGTTCTTGTCTATGATTTGAACTTATATTCTGACCGTTAACTTGATGATATCCTCAGGATTAGTTGCAGAATATTATCAGTATAATGAGCTGCTGATAATTTTATAAAAGAAATTCGAGAAGGCAACACAAAAAAAGGGAAAAAAAGAAAGAAAGAAAGAAAGCCTACAACTTCAAACAAGCTGAGTTGAAAATTAAACTAGGACTTGGAGAAATAAGCAAAAGATATTTCTTAAAGTCTTACAGATGATGACGTGAAATCAGCCTTTGATAATCACGAAGCAAAGGTCCAAGCTCCTTCAGTGGTATGGAACTTGGTGTAGATGTCCGCCAATGATCACGAAGTACCTCAATTGTCTGTTTATGCCACTATTAAAAATATTATTATCAGAAAACACCCAAAATGAAAAAATTTACATGTTAAGCCATACCTGATTGAGCAAACCCTGTTCACCACTAGAAACTTTTTCTCCAGTTAGCCTCGATCCTAGCTCAATGAATTCTTTGTCTTCAGACTCATCTAGTATCTGAAGTACAGGACCCGAGAGTGAAACTGAAATTCCTAACGTTCTTTGCAATTCTGAGATTGCATCATTTTCTCTCCGGCTTTCCTGTGGAAGAAATGAAAATTATCAGATAGGGCTGAAACAGCCTTTAAGGGAGTGACATCAACGGGAAATCACCCCAAGGGCGACTGAAAACATCTGCTTTGAACCAAATCATGTTTAAAAGGACACTGAACTAGTCCATGGACTTCAGAAACTGAATTGCCAACAAATTAATTAAAAAGTTTCAAACCTAGTAGAAATGTATTGGCAATACTCCCACGGTGATTCCTATATTCATTTCTCCTAAACACAGCTACATCATTCTACACAATCATTTTATTCATCTGTGAATATTTACTTTCTGCACAAGATGGCTTAATATTCATCAGAACTCGAGCTATTATACACGTTAAACAGGAAAAGAGTTTAGCATAACTTGAAGAAAAGATTATTCCAATTGAATCTTCAAGAAGTTAAGAAAGGGCTATGAACTAGAAGACCAACTGGTAATTTCATTTTTTTAAGGTATACAAAAAGGGAGCATTGCTGGATGAATTTGCATAGATACCTTTAAAGCAGATTGGATATTTTCCACAGCCATACCCTTGCTATCAGGAACATTTTTCTGTGGGGACTCTATAAACCGCTTTGCAATTGGGTCCCCTGTAGGAGACAAAACCAAAAGAAATTTAAAATGGTAAAATTGTGAATGAAATTAGATGAAATTTAAAGAAACATGCAAATGAGCATTCCGCAGATGTGGTAACATAGAAAGTCATGTCCTATCCATCTCATTTTCTTTCCTCAGTCAGTTTTCCACTCACGGGAATCAGGTTGCAAGCACTTCCCGTCACTTCAGTCATACGATACAAAATTATAATAGCTGAAAGTAAATTTAATACCTTCAGGAACCAACCACCACATATCCCCAAATGTTAATTTGCCATCAAACCCACCAAATAACAGATAGCGAGAACCTATATTAGTCAGAGAATGGTATGCTCGAGCAGCAGGGGGTTCATTTCCAATAGGTAGGCGCTTCCACTGAGCAGACACTAGTTTTGGGGCAATTAAAACAATCGTCAGAACCATATAAAGTACATAAACCATTAGACATGAGGAAGGACAGGGATCAAAATCTGTAAAACAATACAGAGTTAAACAGTAGAGGCAATTGTCAAGCGTATCAGCAAAAAATACACATCCTTCTAATAAAGCATGCAAGCTACAAACCTTGTTCGTAGACTGAAGTCACAAAAGGCTGTGACATTAACCAAAAACATTCTTGCATCCAACATGCAATATATTACATCCAAAAATTTTATAAGTTTAACAAATCACTGATTCAAGTCCCATTATTTGATTTGGTCAAAGTCGAAACTAAAGGACCAACATGCTTCAACAATTTTGTAGTTAAACCTAATAACTATAGAGTTCCATCTTTCTGTCTTTCCCACTTCCATTTTGTTTCTGTTTTGTTAATTGGTCAGGCATGCAAAGGTGCAAGAATGGCACCACCATAAGTCACAATGATGCAAGGAGAAAACGAAAAAACAAATACTTACATCTGTCCAAAACAATACAATCATTGTAATAAATATCGTAGCGACTCAACCAACCGCCAGTTCCATGTCCTCCAAATAACAAGAGCTACAATAAAGGGGAGAACATTAGTCAGTGTGTAAAAGGGAACTTTGGTAATAGAATTAGAGTAACAAATAATGATACTACAAATAACAATGACAACAATAATCATTACATTTTTTTCTCCCAAAACTTTGAAGAAACATGCAGATACTATCATTATTAAAGATAAATCTTTTTTAAAAATGGGATTTACTAAGATGGCATGGATAGGGGATTAGCATTCCAAAGCAGTGGTTTGTGATCTTATTAGGAAAGAAAATCTCAAAATTGTATATAAGAACAAATTAAATCTTTTCCCACTATATGTGGACTGTAAGGATACTTATTATGGCCCTCAGTAAGCTTAGTAAAAGTTCAGTTCATAGTTTTCATTAATGTCCTCTTTGGTCTTCCAGTTCCCCTTGATATAGGAATTCTCCAGAAAAATTACTACTTCTCTTGGGAGAATCTGTAAATGTTCTTCAAATAAACCAAATCATCTTGAATATGTTGTTCAGAGTTTGTTCTGGATAACGCAACTTAGAACTCTTGAAAATGTAGGGTTATAAAAACCTCCAGTTTCTGAAGTCCATTAATTAAAAAGAAAAAATAAGGTTGCTGTAAATCTATTTTACAGCTTATTTATACTAGGGTTTACAAAAAGAACTTGCAATCCTAGACCTAGACTTAAACCCTACACACAACTTATATTTAACTAAATAAGAAAAACAGTGAGGGATTTAGAGATGACATTACATAGTGCCCTCCGGATGTGACTGTATGTCCACAACGGGGAGAAGGCGCTTGACCTGGAAGTTTCAATTGGGTCCATCCAGGTGTTTCATTCTCTTCCTTCCACAATAAAGGCAACATAAGTCAACTGAATGATTCATTACAGAGATCTAAAATCAGAAATAATGTTTATTCTAAATGCAATAAAGAAACATCGCTTGCATATATTAAAGATAAATAAATGTTTATATAAAATAAAAGAAGGGTGGGATGTCTCTAGTAAATAAAATTAATAATTAACAATAGTCTGGGTCCAAGGCAATAATTTGATTTATACATTTCCCGCCTTTGTCTATGCAAAATGAAGCAAGTATGCAGTAAGATTGCTGTATAAAATTATCCAAGGAAAAAATAATCATATGAAAAATTTATCATCCATGCTATTATCAACATGGAAGGGAAAACTGCAAGTATCCACAGAATCAATTTCAGCATACGTTATTGTTGCTCCCTTAAATATTTGGACAGACACTAGCAAAGTTAGATTAATCTTCTATACGAGCACTAGTAAGAAATCATTTCATAAAGAAGCAAATATCTTTCAAATTGAACTAAGTAACTCAGCAAAGGATAGACAAAGCAGTTATATAGATAGAATTAAGCATGGAACTTGTTTACATTTTAAAAAACAAATTTCAAGAATAATATAAGCATCAGTGAGGAAATTACTATTCAATAATTTCATTAAAGAAATCATGTTTATTTGCACAACTAAAAATGGAAAAGAAAATTCAGATATAAACCTTCATCAATAAGACCTTTTAATGCCCATAAATCACTCATGATTGGCCCACCTCCACCTGTCAAAGTTTAGAAAGTCATCATGTCAGCTCAATTAAATGAAAAAAGAACGTTTTTCAAAACTGAGCATGATCCTAGTAAACAAGTATAAAAGATATATATAGTCAAGAAGATATAAAATGCCACCTTACTTCTAACATAAACAATAAGTTCCAGTTATTACTCTATGAACAATGTAACAATGGGGCTGCTATATAAGAACTTCACCTCTTCCACCAAAGACGAGCAACCTTTTCTCAACCATAGTAGCTGTGTGGCCGCATCTAGGTGGTGGTACTGATCCAGTAACTGACAGCTCCGTCCACTCAAGTGATACTGTTCAAGTACATTGTCTTGTTACTTAGTATGACATCTTAATAAGTATAGATAAGTAATTTAATGAAGGAAGAAGGGGTGCAAAAAAAAAATCCCAGAGCAAAGAAGTTACTTGTGTCCAAGATGTATAAGTCTGACAACCACTTTTTACCATCCCAACCACCATGCCTGCACTCAAATCACTATTGCTTGAAAAAAAATATACTATACGTAAACAAACATTTGAAGTGGTTGAGAATCCAAGATACCATACATAACAATTTTTCGGTTTCCAATTGCTGAAGCTGCAGAGAAATCCCGTGATGAAGGAAGGTCACCAAAACTTGTTAACTCTGACCATTGCCATATATCTGGAATAAATATATTCAATTAGTTAAATAGGTCAAAAGTAAGGTTCTACATCTAACACCACAAGATAACAGAAACAGAATCTTACCAGTGTCTAGGACCCAAAAGTCGCCTAACCTGGATATTAACATCATCATTGATAGCATGTGTCTAGAAATGATTTGAGTAACAAAAGAAATAGATTTGTATGGACACTCAAAGCTTATGTACCTTTTGTTACCAGAACGACCACCAAAGATGAACATATGACAATCAATTGCAACGGCAACATGAAATGCTCGTGGGCTGGGACCAACTTGTCCATCTGACCCATTTCCAGTACATTCTGGCTGAAACCACAGCTTATTCTCTACAGCAATTGGGAAAAAGAAGGGGGGGAGTACAAGTCAAAACTTGCAGATATCCCTTTGAGATTTATGGAAGGGATTGACACATGTACAAGGTTTACTAATTACATCATCCAAAACAACATAGTACAGCAACAATAAAAACATCATTCAATCATTTCAGCATTGTATTGAATGCAAATAGGTATTGCCTTTCATACGGATAAAAAAACGAAGCATGAATCACATAAATTCGTCTATGAAATCACTTAAATCAAACGAGTTTAAAAATGAGCTTAACCAATGCATTTTCTTATTCCTCAATCAAAATTAGGGTTACAATCCAGATGAACTAAACAGTGAAAATCCAGAGCGACCATGAAGAAATTAAAAAAAAACAACAACAACAACAACAAAGAATGAAAAAAATAAAAAGAAGGAAAAACCCAAAGTACCAATGTCGTAAACAGCGATGTCATTGAGGAATTTCTTGTCGAGAAGGCCACCAAACACGACGATCTTGGATTTTCCGATGGAAACAGCGGTGTGACCACTGATAAACAATGCAAAAATAGTCAGATAAATCTTCTATAACATAAACAAATTGCAAACACTTAGATTTAGCTTTACCTTCGAGGCTGGGGAAGAGTTCCGGAGAAATCAGCAGCAGAAGCTCGAACCCAGTAATGCATTTGTTTAATATTTGTTTTTTCTCTTTTCTTTTTTCTTCTCAAAATGATTTTCACTTCTTAATTCTCACCACCTATCGAAGATTCAAGAACAGTATAGACGATCCGGGTTTGATCATAAAAGGAAGAAAGGAATTGGTTAAGTTACAAAAATGTTAAAAAAATTGACATCCGAGGTGTTACAAACTGATTGCTTGGCCAATTTCAGAACTTCATAATTTTGGTCATTTTAAAATGTTGCATACGAAGTCTGAAAGTTAAAAAATTAGAGGATAAACTACACAAATAGTCACTAATATTTGAAATTTACCTCATTAAAGTTTTAAAAGTAACAACTCGATCATTAATTTTATCGATTTGTTACAAAATTTTGTTTTCCTTACTTAGAGTATCAATACCCTAGCTTCATTGATACTCTCATGAGTATCGATATCAAAAACAACTACTAGAATTTATAATCCGAAGATAGTATTAATATCTTACCCTTGGGTATTGATACCCAACGAATATTATCGATACGCTACGAATAGGGTATCAATATCACATGTAACAAAAATCTTGTTTTAGGCTATTTGAAAAATAATATCATTGTTGTTTATCCAGTACTGATATCCAAACCCAAAAATACTTTATTTTAAGCACAAAAATGATACCCAACTTTTTCCATAAGAAGGCACCCAGATGTTACGTAAGTATTAGTATATTAAGAGAGGTCATTATAGGGCAATTTCCATGCTGAATAACATCATAACTAGAAACTGCCAATAATGCACTCATATGTTGCATGAACTCATGTACGCTAACTAAGAACATCTAATGAGCTAACCTCGAAGATTTTCGATTGAAACAATTTGAATTATTTTATGAAATATCTTTATATTGATTTACAAATAGTTTTTATATCATTTTGGGTATGAATAATCCAAATTATTTTATTCGGTATTTTATTTCATAGCATGTGAATATTTTTTGTATGAATTGTCCAGATCTAGTTTTATATAAATGGTTTTATATTCAGTTATATGAATGAATGGTTTTATATGCAAATTAGTAATTAATTTAGAACAAATCCCATTGTATCAAAATGAGGGTTAGTGGTACAATGGCATGCCATGAGGTGGAGTGAATCTGAATATGTTTCTGATATGGCACCAGTTTGGATCATTCGTGGTCTGACTCAATGTACCTTAGTGGTGCACGAGGTGGAGTGATTTCGTGCATCTGATTAGCTTTATAAGTGCATTATATGGCATCAAGATGGGTCACTCGTGGTCTGACTCAATGTACCTTAGTGGTGCACGAGGTGGAGTGACTCGATGCAATCTATTCTAACATTAAATTTGTATGTAGCGCGTCCACTCGTTATCTGACACTCGTACCGCGTATTCTCATGATAATATAGTGGGCAAATGTATTATATGAATAAGAAAAATACGTATTTGAAATGATCGAATTTTGAAAAGAAAAGTACAGTTTTGCAATGATATAAATTGAAATAGAAAAATACAGGTCTAAAATGGCACAATACAATCTGAATTACATATTTTTTATAATAAATTCATATTACGAGTTAACAACTAATTTTATACATGTTTTATTTTATTAATGTTTTATACAATATTATATGTTTTATACGTTAAATATTTATTTATTTTATTTTACTTGGTTGCCTCACTAAGTGAAAACTTAGCGTGTGAGTATTTTACGCATAGGTGCAAGATAGAAGGAAAAGTAGATAGTGCATCAACATCATTTATGAGGAACCAATTCTGCCACCAGAATCACTAAGTAAAGACATTTTGTCTGTTAATTTATTTAATAGTGGCATATATATTAAAGAAGTTTCTAACTGCTCTGATTCGAGTCTGTTTAAGATATTTTTGTTTAAATTATGAATGTTTACTTTTACAAAAGACATTATTAATTGAATATTAATTATTAAATCATAATTATTTATTATAGAAATGATTTTCAATTCAGACAGCTTTCTGACAATTTTGTTTTAAGATATGTTACAGTACAAAACTGCCTAAAATACTATATGAATTGAATTTAAATTTTGACACTTAAATATTAAATTATGATTTTGTGTGATTATTAGTTTTAAAATAAAGAAATTCATTTTGAGATTTTAAAAAAAATTACTGATTTTCAAATAGTAAATGTTTCGTATGACTGATGTGACATCTTTGACTCGTATACAAATATGTATATGAATTAAACATATCATTAGAATATTTCCTATAACTAATTGATACAATAAATTAGTCACTTGAGATCATACAATGACTACACAAAGAAAATATTATAAACATTTTCAAAAAAATCCAATAAAATATAAATATGAATTGATCTGATTGCATCAACAAATGAATCACAATAGGATATTAAACTACCAAAAGACTATTGACAATTATAAATTAGAGTCGAGAATCTTGATAAAACCATATCCGAACACAAACTGTGTATTCAAATCCAATTAGAGTGTCCAAAGCAGAAATGTCGACATGATAACAAATAAGTGTTATTCGATCAGTCGAGACTATATCAAATACAACCCTAAGAAAATTTAACGAAGAGAATATTCAAACTGTTGGGACTTTCGGAAGCTCGAATCGACAACCGAAACGGTTTGCAAAAGGGGTTGGAACGGTTTTTGTGTTTAGGGAGTAAGGAGATTGAAAGATAGAGAGTTGCATAGCGATTTATAGTGGTTCGACTTCTCAACCAAGTCTACATCCACTACCTTAGCTCCTCACCAAGGATTTTCCAACAAATTCACTAAATTGTTCTTTCTTTTTAAGGACAAAGAGATAACTTTTACAACTCCCTAGTTTTTCAATGGCTAAACTATAACCTTTCCCTAGCTTTTACACGGGCTTAGCTATAACCTTTCCCCTTTACAAAGGATAAGAAACGTAAACAAGAAAACATCTATAAGATAGGTGTTTACAAGATTGAGCTCACAAGAACAAAATATTTACTAGAGAAATATGAAATAAGAATGAAAAACTCTTCTATTATATTTGATTGCTTGGATAGTTGTTCTCTTACTTCTTCAAGTGTCCTTAGCTTGTATTTATAGCTTGGAATGTGTTTGATGTCGTATATAACCGTTGAGGATGTTTTGGAGCCGTTTGGGGATGATTTTTCTACTCAAAAAGGCTGCTCATAACATGGTGCATCGGTGCACTATCAAGGTGCATCGATACACCTTCATTAAATTCAAATAAACTAGTTGTTACTAGCCGTTGCAACCTTGGTGCATGGATGCACAGCAGGGTGCATCGATGCACTAATTGCATTCGAAATGGAGTGCATGAATGCACTACATGGTGCATCGATGCACTAGTGGCAGGTGCATGGATGCATTGCAGGGGTGCATGGATGCACTTTGACACCTTTTAGCATTTTTGCTCAAATCTGAATTTAATGGACTTTGAATTATTTTTGGAACCTTTTTAAAACTTTGAATAAATTCAATTCAAGTCCAAAAACATTTTGCCTTTAAATTTGTTATATCGAAACATAATTCAACAATCTCCCCCTTTTTGATATAACAAAACATTTAAAAATTTGTTTTTGGCAAAACTTCCACTTAATAAAATGTTTAATGAAAAAGATACCAATTGGTAACAAATGATATCAATTGTTACCAATTGTTTGAAAATATATGAAAATGTAAGCTCCCCTTTTCATTAAGAAATTGAATTTTTCAAACCAAACTTCTCCCCCTTTTGTTATATAAAAACTAATTCAATCTTTGAAGTTCAAAATAACTTTGGAGAGTAGGTAGTAAATTTGACATTTTAAAACTTATTTGAAAAATCAAAGCTCCCCCTCAATAAATGCATTCCAAACAAAATTTAGCTTTAAGAACTTGACACTTAAACAAAATTGAATTTCAACAAAGAATTACAAACATGTTAGTAGTACATGAAATTCAATATATCCAAGTCTAAAATACTTTATGCAATATTAATTATTGAAATTAAGTGCATATGCATAAAGTTTTCCAAAAATGTTATGCATTTGAAAATTTTGATATCGATTGTTAGAGAGATATCATTTTCATTTAAATCGCATGCATAAACATTTAAATTTAGGTCAAAAATTTAAAATTTGTAAAATCAAAGTTTTTTGAAAAAATGATATCAATTGTTAGATATATATCATTTGCATTAAAACCAATTTTGACCAAAATTTTATTATGATGAACTAAAAATAAAAAAAATCATTAAAAATTTAAAATGTTCATCATAACCATCATACATGAGATTAAAAACAATGCATAATCATTTAAAATCAAAACTAATGCATGCATAAATCCTATGAGTAACCAAATAACTAAAATTAAAAACATTAAGCTTAGAGGTTACCCATTCCTTTTCATGTGTGGCTAGAGCATCTTGAATATCATCATTTTCATCACCATTTCTCCCACACACCTACAAGAGACATTTAAGTAGATTTTGGTATCCAAATTGCTTTGTATCCTTGAACGTTAGTTTCAATGCCCCTTGTTCCTTTCGGAACCCATACTTGTCTAATTTTAAAACGTTTTCCTTTCTTCAATGGACAAGTATGTTTCATATGACCATGATAATGGCAATGTGAGTATTTTTCCATATTTAAACATAATAGGTTTTTTTAGAAATTAATTCTTTTTCTTTTATTAAGCTTTCAAGCTTAACTCCTAACTCAAAATTTTCTTTTTCTAAATCATTTATTTTGATTTTTGAAAGCTCTAAATTATTTTTCAAAATTTCATTTTGATTTTCAAAATCAACTTTTGCTTTCAAAATCAAATTATCTTTAATTTTGAGTTTTGAAATTAATTTCGTATATTTGGAATTCATGGTCTCAAATCCCAAATACAACCTATTATAAGCATCTTGTAACTCATCAAAAGTAAATGAATTAAATTCATTTGAGTTAGAAGATACCTTGAATTCTTCTTGAGTGGTCATGAGGCATAGGTTGACTACTTCATCTTCATCATTGGAATCATCTTCATCACTCCAAGATGCAATAAATGCCTTCTTCCCCTTTTTCTTTAGTAGAGGACATTCATACTTGGCATGCCCCTTTCTTTGACAATTGAAACATACTGGGG